TACTGGGTTGACCGTAGGATTGATGTGTTGACGGTCGAGATTAGTCGTACTCGGGACGAACGGTCGCAGGAGATTGGCGTGGAACGAATCATGGATTCGCCAGTCGGTCGGCAGTTGCAGCTGGTCAGTGACTGGTGTCTCCATGCGAATGATGCGGAATGGGCCGCAAAATCTTGGTCGTAATTTATTTGGGAGGGGAATTCCCAAATTTCTGGTGTCGGGTAGGACCAATTGCCCAGGGGCGATCGTTAAGTCTCGGCGTCGTCGGCCAGCTTGCTGCTTAGCCCTCTGGTTGGCTTTAAGGATGGCATCGGTAGCTTTTTGTTGAGATTGTCGGAGGTTTTCGACGAACTGCTGAGATCTTGGTGCCGGGTTTTCTATCGGGGGCAATAGAGGGGTTGTTGGATCTATCACGAAATTAAGGAAGAAAGGGGTCTGCATAGTCATGGCCGATGGGGCGTTGTTGTACGCAAACTCGATCAAGGGAAGGGCGTCTTCCCATTGGCCCGGTTCTGTGCACGTCGTGCGAATCAGCTGCTCCATCGTTTGATTGGTGCGCTCAGTCTGGCCGTCTGATTGCGGGTGGTACGCCGTGGACAGATGCAGACGTGTACCGTACTGCTGCCAGGTTTTTTTCCAGAAGTTGGACGTGAACCGTGGGTTACGATCGCTGATGATTCCCGAGGGGATGCCGTGTAGCCGCACGATGTTCGTAAGGAACAATTTCTGTGTCTTCTCGGCACTAATCGTTGTCTTGCAGGCGGCGAAGTGGGCCATCTTGGTCAAGCGGTCAACGACGACGAGAATCGTGTCGTTACCGCTTGGACCAGTTGGCAGGCCATTGACAAAATCCATCATCACTTGTTGCCAGGGTCGGCTGGGTGGCTCGAGTGGCTGCAGCAATCCAGCAGATCGAAGCCGGGAAGAATTCATGCGTTGACAAGTAGCGCAGGAGGTGACGTACAACTGCACGTCTGTTGGCAAATCGGGCCTGTAATAATTACAGCTCAGTAATTTGGCGGTTTTGTCGAAGCCGTAATGACCTGAGAAATTCGAATCATGTGTCCCCTGGATCAGTAATTCCTGTAGGGTACGGTAGGCGAGAACCCAAATCCGATTGGTACCGGATTTTAGGTTATAGGCCCCTTGCTTGACTGTCAGTTGGGGATGACTGTTAGTGGTGAAGAATGGGTCAGTACTGTATCCGTGGGTGAATAGGCCAGTAAGCAGCGGATTAGCTTGCGTAATTAGGATGGCGACGGTGTGGACTAAAGGGCGGGTCAGTGCGTCGGCGATGTTGCTAACCCCCCGTTTGTAGGTGACTCTGTAGTGGAAGTTGGACTCAAGGTAGTCGAGCCAGCGAATCTGCCGGGGATTCTGTGTCGGTTGGGCACGGATGAACTGTAGCAACTCGTGGTCTGTTCGGATTGTCACGTCAGCGCCCGTCAGGTAGGAGCGCCAGACTTTGAAAGCTTGAACGATGGTGAGTAAATCCTTGTCGTGGACAAGATAATTTCGCTCGGCCGGGTTCAGCTTTCGTGACTCGTAGGCGATGGGTTGGAGGCCTTCGCTGAAGTCTTGTAACAGGACTGCGCCAACGCCCAGATCGCTAGCGTCGGTGATGAGCTCGAATGCCCGGAGGTGTAGTCAGGAATAGTTTGAGCTGTTCGAACGCAGCGTGCTGCTCTCCCCCCCACTCATAAAACGTGCCCTTCTTCAGGAGATCCGTGAGAGGGGAAGTTATCCCCGCCATGTTCGGAATGAAACAGCGGACGTAATTCACAATCCCCAGAAATCTGTGAAGTTCACGGAGATTAGTCAACGACTTCCAGTCTTGGATTGTCGCAATCTCCTTGGGTTCGATTTTAACACCGTCGATGGAAATTACATTGCCAAGAAACTCCAGTTCGTGTTTGAGGAAACTCGCACTTAGAGCCCTTGGTGATGAATCGGTGCTGCTGCAGGTGAGAGAAAACTGCTGTCAAATCCTTGAAATGATGCTCGCGGATAGTGCTATAGACCAGTATGTCGTCAAGGTACACGATGACGCATTTATCCAGCAGCAGCCGAAAAACCTCGTTCATGGTTAACTGGAACGTCGAAGGCGTGTTTGTTAAGCCAAAAAGCATTACCGTGTACTCGTAACTTCTGTACCGGGTTTGAAACGCTGTCTTGTAACAGTCAGCTTTGTTCACGCATATTTGGTGGTAACCGCCACGCAGGTCGATTTTCGAGAAGAATTTAGCTCCACGAAGTTGGTCGATGAGTTCGTCGGCATGCGAGATAGGGTAGCGAGACTTTATGGTAACCCGGTTCAAGGCGTGGTAGTCAATACACATGCGTAGACCGCCATCTTTCTTCGGGGTGAACAGTATTGGAGCTGCAAACGGTGAGGTGCTGGGGCGAACGAAACCGTTATCGAGCAGGTAGTCCAATTGGTTTCGAAGTTCATCTAGCTCGGGCTGAGTCAGCCGCCATTGAGTCCGACCAGTAGGCTGCGCGCCGGCCTCCAGCTCGATTTTGAGTTCATGTTCTCGCGCAGGTGGCAAACCTACTGGTAGGTCGTCTGGAAAAATGCCGGTGTGTTTCCGAATCACCATCGCCAAGTCATTCGGGACAGCTGCGCAGAGTTTGTCGATATCGGTCGGCGTGTCGACAGCCGTTGATGCGATCCATCGGACGGCATACAATGGCGCCCCTCGAATCATGGCTCGTTTGATCATCACAGTGCTGACCGTCGATGTGGTCGAATCTTGACAGCTCTATTTGGGTAGTCGGCGCCACTCGCCACTCCATTTGATGCAACAATCGCCCGTCCGCCAGTTAATGCTTGGGTTGTGTTCGCGTAGCCAATCGCGTCCCAGCAGCTATCGCACCCGTCCAAAGTTGTCGCCAGCATCTTCGTCGTGAAACTGAAATTTTTCGCCACATGTTATTCGCACGTGAGGTACCCGCTCCCGAATTGCAAGTGGTGTGCCATGAACCAATCTCGCGTCGGTTTCAGGCATGCAGCGCTCCAGCTGCAATCGTAATTTTTTCGCCTTCATTACGTCCATCAAACTGTGGCTCGCCCCACCATCAACGAATATTTTGATGCGGGTGTCGCCAACTCTCCCTTCAACGAGCACGGGGCGATCAACCGGTTCACCCATGTTATTCAGTCAGGAATGGTCGATAGCCCAAATCGGCACTATAACCTGGTGGGGGTGGTGGCGTTTGGGCAACGCAGTCAAGTCAGTAGGTGGCCCATCTGCTACTGACGATCTCCATTTCCCGACTGCTTCTTGTTGTTAGCTAAGTTCCTCTTCAACTGTGGGCAGTCCCTCACCATGTGACCCGACTGGTTGCAGTCCCTCACCATGTGACCCGGCTGGTTGCAATGGAAGCAAGTTCCCGAAAATACTCGGGCTGCAAACACGTCCACGCCGTTGATTGATGTGTATTGGGGCTGGCCTTGAAAGCGATTTCCCTCCCGCTCCCCCGAGTCCACGTCGCGCGTCCAGCGCGTCTGCTATACGAACTATTTCATTGCATGTCGTCGGGGCTCGCATGACAATTTCTTGCTGAATCTCCGGCTTAAGTCCACCCACGTAGCGATCGATGCGTTCGTCTTCGCTAAGCCCTCCGATTTGGTCGCAGATTGCCAGAAACGACGCCATGTATTCTTGGACAGAGCCCTTATGTCTCCACATCCGAAGCTTTGTGCGAGCATTTTCGCGCATTGATATGTGCTCAAATCTACGCTTCAACGCTTCGCCCCACGCTTTGCACGTGCGGATCGTGGCCGACCCAAATATCGGTTCTGCCTTCGCCGTTGATGAACTGTGCTCCCCATCTACCACCCGTTGATTCCCTGCCGGGGCTCCTCCCTCGTCTAGATGCATGCGCTACCTGTCGAGTGCCGGTCCCCTCAGCAGCGACACAGCCAAGTTGACACGTGATGCGTTGTCATTAATACTTGCTGCCGTGAAGAAGATTTCCATGGCGAACAGCCACCTGCTCACTGTAGTTGTCCTGCCGGTCAGGTTGAATGGTGGTGGCATCGGAGGTTTGATTTTAATGGCCGCCCGCTGCTCGCTGTGGACTCTTCAATTGCTTCAGGTGTCGCTGACGCCCTCGCTTCGCTCGCAATATCTTCGTCTCGGGTAATAGGCCGCCCCTGACGCGTTTCACCCCGCATCTGGCGAAGCGACGAGTTTTCGTTGCGCAGCGTTTGCACTTCGCTTCCCAGCGACTCTAACTTATCGGCAAGTTGTTGAAGCTGGGTCTGCAGTGCCGCCCTGGCTTGCAACTTGTCAATTTCCTCATGAGTCACGTTCCTAACATTACGACGGGCAGAGGTTTTCGGCGTGATAGACATGCTGGAATTTTTAACTGACAAATCTGAGGGTGCACACGCTTCTAGTTGGATGAGCTTTAACGAACTCACCTACCAACCGCAGGCCAACCCCCTATTCTGTCGGGTCTTCCCCCGATATAAACGGACTAATCTACGGAAGACTAATCGGGCAGGAACGGGGCTCTGATACCAGTTGTCATGAATTTATCAGAGTAATAACACGTAGTGTAATAATGGAGTCGTGGTTCAAAAGTGTCGATACAAATGAGGGCCTATGCATTTATAGGCACGAACAAAGCTAGCCGAGAACCACGCGAACAGGTTGGGGCGGTCTGGTTGGTGAAAGCCAGTGTAGCGCTGCACGTCTAGGTTTGGGTTCGCGAAATGGTTTGGGACGTAAGAAGTTGGCCGAGCCTGGACTTCCGTGAGTCGAGGGCATACGTGCTATAGTCGAGCCCTGTAAGGAATGGGAAGAGAAAGGATATCGTAATTTTGGCAAAAGTGTTGGCCCATACAGGTCTCGAACCTGTGACCTTCGCGTTATTAGCACGACGCTCTAACCAGCTGAGCTAATAGGCCGATGTCTGTAACGGAGCAATTCAAAAATAGTAAAGTGTTTTTGCTGTACTTGTTCAGCTGCTCTTGGTTGGTGGCCTGCTTTCCCTTGCATGGCGCCACCACGAGCGCTCTCCCCTCATACACCCATAGTCGTCCGTGATGCGCGCTCCGACGCTGTGGTGGCGCATTTCCTAGGCGGCAAGCCGGCCGGCGAGGTGTGCGACGCGTTGGAGCGTCTCACGGGGTCGCCGGGGTGTCTCGTGCTGGGGGAGAAGTCGTCGCAGGGCGCACCCCTCGTGCTGACTGAATCGGATGTGATACAATCGGGGACGTACCACTGGCGAGGTGCGCGTCGCAGAGTTACCAGCTTGGCTCGGTTTGTAGTCCAGTCTTACCCACCGTCGGTCGTAGGTCGTAAGCTCCGTTCGACTAGTTTCGTTTATCGAATCAGGAGGAGCTTGCCTATAGCGCATGTGTGAATTTCGCGTAATATAGAGATCCCGGTAACCTAGCTGGAGAACGTCGCGAATACTGAGTGACAGCTCTGTGTGTGTATTCGTGCCGAGTTCTCTAGCTGGCCTTTACAACTGATTCTTACACGACCCCACTCCCTGTCACTAATCTGAGAGTGGCAATATCGAGGTCTTCTTTTGAGTCGACTCAAAAGCTGATTCTTACATGACCCCCCTCCCGGACACTAATCTGATGCATCTTTCCCCGCACGCGCAGTGGCAATATCGAGGTCTTCCTCCCAACCCAGCTCCCAGCCACCGCAACCCCCTTACAGTCACACCCGCCACCGCAACCATGATTGGTCATCCCAGCTCGCGGCTTCCGTACTCGCTATACTCATCCTCGGTTCCGGCATCCAGCTGCTTATCATGCTCGCCGCCCTCCCCTTCTGCGACTACCGCTGGTCGTGCGCCTTCAGATACTATCGCGCGGTTATCTCCTTTATAGACGGACCCTTTAAGGTGTTCGCGTTCTTTGCTGCCATCCAGGCGGCCGGCAGAAACCCCGGCCGGTGGCTGTGGTTCGTGAAGCACCTTCGTTTGAATCACACCCGCTTCAGTCACATTCGCTTGGGTGCGTTGCAAGGCTGGGTGTCTCGAGTATGGGGTGAGAGGAGCAGTGCGGCAGCAGCAGCTGGAGGAAGGAGGGAGGATGAAGGAAGAGGAGGTGGAAGGGGAAAGGAGGATCGGAGGGATGCGGGAAGAGGAGGAGGGAGAGGAGGGAGAAGCGGTCGGGGTGGTAGAGGAGTGAGAAAAAGCAGCTCTAGTCCGTTCCAGGGAAAACGCGCAGAGGCAGGTTCTTCTGAGTTTACTCAAAAAGAGGCAGGGTCGGGATCAGGCCTGGAGGGACGGGTAGGGTTTCGGCCCGTGCTTCCGGCTCCATCCTGCGATCTGTTTGATCCTCCTGGTTCATCGAGGCGTTTGCCGTCTTCTTCCTCTTCTTCCTCTCCCTCCTCGTCCGTTCTGCGAAGATCGAGGTCGGATGGCGGTGGTGGAGGAGACGCGAGCAAGCCCAAAGCAGACTGAGAAATGGGCTGAACCTGGCTATCCCGATTACTGGTACCACCAGGGAGAATTTATTAAGCCGCTTGTATTTTTGGGGTGGTACGGCACGGCACCTGTTCACGAAAGTGATTGTGATGCCATGCCACTTGGACAGATAGCGGTGCGGGTGGTCGGTTTACGAGGCTGCTATGGCACAAGAACAATGAAGGCAGAGGCGATGACTGAAGGCCAATCAATCAACTCAACACTTATTTTACACCGGCGTCGTTGAGAAACATCAGCCTTCCTATTCTATGCTGTTTTTTGCTCGACAGGAGAGCACCACAGTGCTGTGAGAAATCTCTTTGGGCTTTTCAGTACGATACCATAACTGATCTACAGTATCATTTGCACAAGCAGCTACACAGTTTCCCATCTACCACGTTAGCATCTCAAGGACTCGGGAATTTTGAGCAAGACAAAATTTGTGCAAACAAACAAGCCATTTCTCTTTCATGTCATACATTTCACACCACCAATTTGTGACTGCACTGCATTATGCTGCTGCTTCTGCTGCCGCAGACACAATGAGGACCCCACCTCTTCTTTCAGCTGTTGACCCTGTTGACTGCTACATCTGCTCTCTGCTGCTGACCCTGTTGACCTCGCTGGTCTGAGCAGCAGCACAATAGCCAGCAGCAACTATGGCTAGAGTGGCTGCCATCTCTGCTTTCAGCTGTTGACTGCTACCTCTGCTCCCTGCTCTGGCCCTACTCACCTTGTTGACTCCACAACACTAACCCCAGCAGCCATGGCAGTAGGCTGAGCAGCAGCAGCACTAGCATCACTGCTATCTCCGCTCGCGGCTGTTAACCCTTCTTATGCCTCCACCAGCCTGAGAAGCAGCAGCCGCTGCTGCTGCTGCTGCAGCTGCCGCACCGGCGTCAGCAGCAGCCATGTCTTGGTTGGACGCTACCTCTGCTCCCTGCTCCTGAACTTATTGATGCCCCCAGCCTGAGCAGCAGCAAAAGCAGCTGCAGCTGCCGCGTCAGCGTCAGCAGCAGCCATGGCTTGCGTCGCTGCTGCCCGCCACTCCGCCTGCCGCTGTGCCTCCGATGATGGCAGACCCAGCTGGGGATGGGGAAGAGGAGGGCAGGGGAGTAAATGGGAAGCAGGAGAGAGAGGGGGGAAAGGGCAGGCACGGCTTGGGTGGCTGCTGCGCGCCACTCCGCCTCCCGCTGTGCCTCCAACGAGGGCAGGCCCAGCTGGGGAGGGAGCAGAGAGAGAGGTCACGGGGGTACGTGAAGAGGGGAAAGGAGTGGATTGGAGTGGATTGGAGTGGAGAGGGAGGGTGACAGAAGAAACGAGGGCAGGCCCAGCTGGAAGGGAACAGAGGGGAGGAGAAGGGGAGGGGAAGGGGAGGGGAAGGGGAGGGGAAGGGGAGGGGAAGGGGAGGGGAAGGGGAGGGGAAGGGGAGGGGAAGGGGGGGGAAGGGGAGGGGACGGGGAGGGGAAGGGGAAGGGAAGGGGAAGGGAGTGGATGAAAGGAGGAGCAAGGAAGCCATGGCTTGAGTGGCTGCTGCGCGGCACTCTGCCTGCCGCTGTGCCTCCGATGATGGCTGGCCCAGCTGGGAAGGGGGCGAGAAGGCGAGAGGATGACGAGGGTGCTGGGAAGGGGGGGTGAAGGAGAGACAGTGACGAGGGTGCTGGGAGGGGAATGCCACGTAGTTTGGAGATATGGTTCTGGCATGAGCGGGCATCATGAGATGACATGGCATGAGCGGGCATCATGAGATGACATGCCATGAGCGGGCATCATGAGATGACATGGCATGGGTCAAGAATGGACACGCCAGCTCACAGCAGCTCTGGAAGCGCCCATCCTCGCAGCCTCTCTTGATCGCATGGCATGGCATGGCATGGCATGGCATGGCATGACATGGCACAGCAATGGTCTGAGGCATGGTATGGCATGGCATGGCATTGCACGGCATGGCAATGGTCGAAGGCATGTGGTATGGCATGGCATGCCATGGCATGACAGGGGCTATGGGGAGGCAAGGCATCTCACAGCAGCTCTGAAGGCATCCATCCTCGCAGCTTCTCCTGATGGCACACCATGGGAATGCTTTAAGGCATGGTGCAGCATGGGAATGCTTGAAGACAAGGTACAGAGCACAGGTCAAGAAGACTAGACAAACCCTCTCACTCACAGCAGCTCTGAAGGCGTCCATCCTCGCAGCTTCCTTCGCCTCCAGCTTCGCCAGCTTGTTGCCCGCGTGCACTGTGCGCTCCAGTTTCTGGTGGAGGAGGAAGTGCGGGAACACAGCAGAGGGGAGTGAGGGAGACAGATAAGAGCTCAGTGTCCTCCAGCTTCGCCAGCTTGTTGCCCGCGTGCACTGTGCGCTCCAGTTTCTGGGATGGGGTAAAGGGAAGGGGAGGGAAGAGGGGGGCAGCACGGAGAATGCACATTCCCGTATGCTCTATGCATTCCAGTTTCGAGAATGCAGGGGAGGTGATGTCGGGTTTTTTAGAATTCTCAAAAGCCTAATACAGCCGAGAATGCAGAGGAGGTGATCACGCAGTCTTCATACATAGTTCGCCAACGGCAGCAGTTTCGAAAGTTCCAACATGGAAATTCAGGGTATTTTCTAGAACTCTCAAAAATGCCAGGGAGGTGATCAAGGCATATAGAAGGGCAAAAGTGGTGTAGTTTAGGAAATTTGAGGCTCCTAAAATCCACACTTACCGTAATTGAGACACCCTTAATCCTGAATGAAACGAGCCGAATAGGCGCACAGCACAACAAGTGGGTATGACTCACTTTCTTCTCCATGCGAAGCTTCTTCTGCTCCCTGCCATGACAAAAGGACGATGCGGGACAGGATTGTGAGAGGGAGTGCGGTGAGTGGGAGCGCGGTGAGTGAGAGTGCGGTGAGAGGGAGTGCTGTGAGAGGAAGAGAAACAGAAGCACAAGGTGAGGAAGACAGAGAGCATGGGAAGCAAGCGACAGGGGAGAAGGGGAAGAGTGGCAGGAGCCAAAACACACCTCCAGTCAACGGAGCCAAAGAAGCGCTGCATGTTCATCTGCTCGTCCTGTGCCTTCCTCCACTCTCCTGTGCGCAATTGCTCCTGATGGGATGTGCGGTGGGGAGAGGAAAGGAGGGGGGAGCGGAGAGAAGGATATAAATTCACATATGTCTACAGCTGCATGTTCGTCTGCTCGTCCTGTGCCTTCCTCCACTCTCCTGACCGCAGTTGCTTCTGACATAGAGTAGGTGGAGAGGAGGATAGAGAGAGGGCGGGAGGGAGGGAGGGAGGGAGGGAGGGAGGGGGAGGGAGGAGGAGGAGGGAGGAGGGAGGGAGGGAGGGAGGGAGGGAGGGAGGGAGGGAGGGAGGGAGGAGGGAGGGAGGGAGGGAGGGAGGGAGGGAGGGAGGGAGGGAGGGAGGGAGGGAGGGAGGGAGGGAGGGAGGGAGGGAGGGAGGGAGGGAGGGAGGCAGGGAAGCGAGGAGAGTAGGGGGAAGAGCATTAGGAGCAGGAGGGGTGGGTGGGTGGTGGGATATGTGTAGAGTGGTGGAGGACAGCGAAAATGTAAGTATGGCAACAACCTCTTGGGAGGACCTTCAAAACTCCCCCCCTTGCAGTTGCCGGCTCTGTTTTCATACTCCTTTTTTTCCGAATTGACTGGAAACAATAGCGTATGCAGCTTCTGCGATGCTTCCCGGGTTGCCCCAACAAGGTGCTACTTTTGCATGCGGTGCTCGTTGTGCGAGCTTTTTTAGTATTATGAAAAATTACCTTCGCATGCTGAGCTCGTTGCCGGAGAACCTCCTTCTGCTCCACCTGCTCCACCATCTTGGCCTGGCGCGGGGGAGAGGGAAACAGATGCGGGGTGAACGAAATGCGAGAAAAGACACGAGCGGCACGACAGCTAGGAGGAGGGAGAGGAAGACGGGAAGGAGGGAGGAGAGATTAATAGAGGAAGGCGGGGGAGGGGGGGGGGGGGGGGGAGGGGAGTGGGGACGGAAAGGGTGAGGAGAAGGGAGGGAGGGCAGCGGGGAGTGAAAAGTGGGGGTGGAAGGCAGGAGAGAATCTCACATGCAGGTGGCTGAAGGACTTCTTCAGGTCGATTCATCCGCCATCGTGGATAGACACTCCATTGGGTAGGGGTGGGGTGGGGGGGAGGGGAGGGGAGGGGGGGGGAGGGGAGGGGAGGGGAGGGGAGGAAGGGGGGACGCGGAACGGCGGAATGGAGGAAGGGAGGAAGGGATCATCGTCCATTCCGCGGAAGGGATCTCACATGCAGGTGGCTGAAGGACTTTTTCAGGTCGTTGCGCCCATCATCGTCGTCTGCCCCGGCTCCATTAGTCACCATCGCGTTGCCAGGCAGCATCCCTCCACTGCTGCTCGGGCCATGCTGCCCATTCGCCATGCTGTCCCCTCCTCCTCCTCCTCCTCCTCCTCCGACGCCTCCTTGGCTCCCCTCATTCCCCGGATCCCTTCTCCTCCCCTCACGCTTCTTCCTCCTTTTCTGCCTGTCTTTCTTTCTGTCTTTCCTCTTCTTCCTCTGCTCCTCCTTCCTCCCTTTCTCCCCTCTCTTCCCCCTGCCTTTCTTTTTCCCCTTCCTTGACTGCTTTTTCCCTTCGCTGTCACTACTGTCACTACTGTTTCCACTGTCACTGCTCGCGCTATTGTCACTATCACTATTGTCACCACTGCTCGTGTCACTGCTACTAATCCGCCTTCCTTCGCTGCTCCCATCATCTGATGACGTGGCATCATCAGTCCCTTCCTCTCTCCTCCGCTTCTTCTTCTTCCCTCTCGGTTTCTTGGATCTCCTACTGACGCTTGCCTTGTCCCTTGCACGTTTCCTACTGTTGTAGAATAGAAACACGTCAGCCACACAGAGAGGACAAAGGCGGACTAAGCCAACGAAGAGAGAGAGAGAGAGATGCCGTTTGAAAAGCAGCTGGAACGAGCGATGGGGGAAAGATGAACAATACGAACGGAAAAACGAAAACGAAAAGAAAGAAAGGAAGAAATAAATTAACCAAAAAAAAAAAAAAAAAAAAACGCTTGGCAGATCCTCACCTCTTTTTGCCTCTGTCAACCTCCTGATTCTCCCTCTCGGTCTCACTGCCGCTACTTCTGCCACTGCTTCCGCTGCTCCCACCAGACGAGCTACTCCTTCGTCTTCTTCTCCTCTTAGCCTCTCGCTTCCGGTTCTCGCGGTTTAAGCTTCTCCCACTCAACGACTCGCTCCTCTTGTCGCCGTTTAAGCTTCTCCGTTGATCTGCACCATCCGAGTCGCTGGCGCTACTATTGCTCCTACTTCTGCTTCTCCCGCGCCGTATTTTCCGCTCAACCTCCCTACCCCTACTCCCCCCATTCCTACCCTTCCTTCTCCCCCACAAGTCACCGCTCCTGCTGCTGTCGGTTCCGCTGTCACTCCCGCTTCCAGCACTCTCACTGCTGCTTTTCAGTCGCATCGCCTTGCGCTCTCGTCTGTCCCGTCGTCTAACTCGCTCACCGACCTCTTCCTCCTCAAGCCTCTTTTCCCTCTCAGGCGACTTTTGAGGCGCCTCAGAAATTGCCCTGCGTTCGCCTCGATGCTGTCGTCTGCCTCTCTCACCCTCCTCTTCCTCCTCGAGCCTCCCCTCGCTCTGAGACGATTTTAGAGGCGCCTCAAAAACCGTCCTGCGCTCTCGTCGGTCCCGTCGTCTATCTCTCTCACCGTCCTCTTCCGCTTCAAGCCTCTCCTCCCTCTGAACCCGCACCTCCCTTTCCGCACCCTTCATCAGTGAATCACTGACGGATGCAACCAAATGACCGATCGCGCCTGAGTGCGGCAACGGACATGATGTCCTTCCACGGCTGGGAGTATTTTCTTCGCAAAAGTGGACTCAGTGATGCCTGTGAGGACATATCGAGATACCGAGATGGCACTGCAGTGTCAGAATAATTAGGATGATGGTTTTCGAGTAGTACCGCTTTGGAATGTCAAGAACCGGACTAAACCGTATCATTAAGTAGAAGACTCTCATCACTAAAGGAGTTCATATTTTCAACCACACAAAGCATAACATTTTACACCTTTTACTTTAGAGCAAATCATACCAATACAAACAAGTGAATAACATATGAAAAACTTTGAATACCACCTGTTGCTGAACTTTGCACTTGTGGGTCTGGTGAAATAGGCAGAGCAACACAGCTAGTTGGTAACCATCTGAATGTTCGGGCGTATCGGGCATTGGATAGTGGAACACAACAGCTGGTGGAAATCAGGTGGGGTTGGCATATATCGAAGATGCCTGGACTTTAAAAAAGGTGAGGGATGGGGGACGGGTAAAGAGAGACAGACATAGCAACAGGCTCCCCAAAACAGCCCATCACAGATACCAAGCTGATGGTGGGCAGGATGATCGTGTGTGGTGATGACATCTATAAATGATCGGAGGATTTAGGCTATGGACGGGGCACTTGGTGCCAGCATGGCATTGGCATGAACAGTGAGACATGATGTAAGATGCGCGAGCGGCGAATCCATGGGTAGGCAGAGACAGGCGAAGCGGACAATTGGAATAATAGGGATAGCAGAGTGTCGCGAGCTGATTGAAGTAGTGTTGCGGCTAAACGAATGCTGTGGCTGATGGGGGTTGAATCATGGAGAGGTATGAAACCGGGGTTGAAGCAGAGGTGCTGTCCCATGGCAGTGACTCAAATTCGTTGGACACGAGGGGTGGCATGATGTGGAAAGCACAAGCACACCCAAATCAGGCAGCTGCGGAAGTTGATTACCGGCCAGATGACTGGAGGAGGAAGGGGGTTTGATGATGGTTGGAGGAAGGAAGGTGAGGAGGAGGTTTCAGTGCCATGATGGTCGGTGGTTTGCTTTGCATACCCCCAGAGATGAGACGAATCTCCTCCCATCCCATACTTCAACTGAATCACCAACACTCACTGTCCGGCAAGTCGACAGGCCTGCTCAGCTGCTATGTGATCACCTGTCACACCTGGTACGCTACACGGTTACGCCTATAACCCCAACTGCTCTGCTGCGGAAGTCCTTTGTCAATTCTACTCCCTTGAACAACTACTCTACCCCCTGGTCAATCAATGCCCGCCTAAGGTCGAAATAGCTGACCCAGCCCACACATGACACCCATACCCTACAATGGTTAGCCTGATATCTACACCCCCCCCCCCCCCCTTGGTCACATAAATCCGCCAATCATCTGGCTCTCCACTTCTTCCGCAGCCTCCCAACTCTCGAACCTCCCTATCCCTTCCTGGATTGGCGAAGAAACTCTCCTCCAGATTCGGGCTCTTTCCAGCCTTCAGCTCTGGCTTCCTCCCAGCCTCCAGCTTCCTGTTCTCCCCGGTTAGTCCCTCCTCTTGCATGTCCCTCCTCTTGCCTCCTCCTCCTGGGTCACTTCTGGCACTTCGGGTTCTCCCCAGCCTCCCACTTCTGATCCTCCCAGATTCCCCAAGCTCTGGATCTCCCCAGCCTCCGTTTGGTGAGCGCTCGACTAGATATACGCCTCCTCCTCCTCCGCTACCTCCCTGCATTTCCGCTGCCCGCCTTCCATCCGACACGCCCTGACTGCCTTCCCTGGCTGTCTGATTACCTCGCACATGCACCCGGGCAGCGGGTTGGCATAGAAATTCTCCTCCAGCTTCGGGTTCTCCCCAGCCTCCCGCTGGTGCGGCCCCCCCACGCGGCCCTTGTGCTGCTTCCTGATCTGCTTGCGGAAGGTGTTCCAGCTGATCTCGCCGGTCTTGAACTGGTCTATCAGCCGCACCACGGCTTCCCTGAAAGGGACAATGGTAAAAAACGGGGGAATGACGTTTGGGAAAAGGTATCAGGGAACGGGGGAAGACAATAGGGTTCTCCCCAGCCTCATGCTGGTGCGCCCCCCCCCCACCCGGCCCTTGTGCTGCTTCCTGATCTGCTTGCGAAAGGTGTTCCAGCTATCTCGCCAGTCTTAAACTGGTCAATCAGTCGCACCACCGCTTCCCTGGAAGGGGGTATGGGGGAAGTGGGAGAGGCAAAAGCAGACTGGAGCTTGAAATAGGGGTCGCGGCTTACTGTTTCGTGTCTTCCAGTTGATCTCGCCCGCCTTGAACTAGTCTATCAGCCGTACCACAGCTTCCCTGGAAGGGGGTATGGGGGAGGCGAGTAGAGGGATAGGAGGGTTCGGGTATAAAGTCGGAATTGGCAAAAACAACAGGGCTTGCGGCTTCCTGACATGCTTGCGCACCATCTTCCTGCTGACCCCACCCCCCTCCGGAATAAGTTCTGTTTTGAGACGTTTCAAAGCAAAATCACTGACGCACAGCTTCCTGACCTGCTTGCGGATAATCTTCCTGCTGACCCCGCCCCCCTCCGGAACAAGTTCTGTTTTGAGACGTTTCAAAGCGAAATTACTAACACACGGCTTCCTGACCTGCTTGCGCACCATCTTCCTGCTGACCCTACCCCCCTCCGGAGTATTTTCCTTTCCGTGTCCCTCGAGCCTCCCATGCCCAACACTCTCCACGGCCACCATGTAGTCCGCGGCTGCCAACCTCTTACAGTACCCTGCATCAACCCCTTCTGCTTCCTCACCTGTCCGGGATAATCGTTTTTCTGTGCCCTTCGAATCGCCTGTGTCCCTGCACAGCCCGCGCCATGTTGCCCTCGTACGTGTACGCAAACACGTCGCTCTCCACGGCCACTGTGTAGTCCACGGCGGCCAGCCTGTTTTGGAAACCACCCAGCGCCGCCAGCTCCTCCGCCGTCGCCAGCGTCGAGTGGGTGAACGTGTTGGGGTAGTATCGGGTCAGCTCCTAAAGAGAGCGGGGGGGGGGGGAGAAGGGGGTGGGAGGTTGTGAGCAGGAGCAAGAAGCATACGCCAGCTCCTCCGCCGTTGCCAGAGTGGAGTGTGAGAACGTGTTGGGGTAGTACCGGGTCAGCTCCTAGTGAGGGAAAGGTGTTGGAGGGGTAAAGCAGAAGGACAGGGGACGGGAAGGGGGAAGAGACGGGGTGTGGAGAAATGGAGTGGAGTTCATTCATCAGACAGAGTTTCGGGAAGTTTAACAAGTTGTTGTAGTCGCACTGGATCCACAGCGCACGGCAGAAACAACAGATGGCTAGCTTCCTGTTCCGATGGCTTCCTGCTCTTCTCCTTATCGCAAGGCCTCTTGAGCCGTGGATATCCCCAGCAGCAAAATAAATCAACTTCTTGTTTGGGAACCCCAAACCAAAGCCCGTAATAACAGGGCAGTGTCCTTGGGGGTGAGTGTGAACAAGCATCCTGTTTTTCTCCGTACCGCAAGGCCTTTTGAGCCGTAGATGTCTCCAGCAGCAATGTAGATGACCGTCTTGTTAGGGAAACCCATAGCCCGCAGAAACAGAGCAGTCTCCTTGGGCGTGAGGGGGCACGCGCCCTCCGTGCGCCTGGCAGCCCCGTCGATGTCCTTCTCCTTCCACCTCGAGTTGTTGAGCCGCATCGCCCTCAGCTCGCCACTCTCCCAATGCATCAGCCCGTGGTCGCACCCGGTGAACGCCAGCATGTCCTTCTCGTATCTGAAAACGGCGAAAAGGAGAACAGGAAGGGAGGCAGGGCCAAGGGAAAAGGGAGGGTTGAAGACTTGGGCAATCTGTGGTCGCACCCTGTGAACACAAACTTGCCCATCTCGTACCTGGAAGTCGGAAGAGGGGGGGGAGGAAAGAGCGGGAGAGCAGATGGCAATTATGTGCTGCCAAGCCCTTAGGAAGCAGGGGAACGGGGGAGGCGGCAGTGGATTGGTCTGCATGTCCTGGCATGTCCGTCAGCTCAGAGACCAGCGATCAGCCTGTGGTCGCACCGATTGAACGCCAGCAAGACCTCCTGATATGTGGAAAATGTTTTACAGGGACCTCAGCATGTAATGAGACTATTTTTCAGTCGACTAAAAAATAAAGTCGTTACGCACAGCGATCAGCCTGTGGACGCACCCATTGAACGCCAGCAAGACCTCCTCATATGTGGAAAACGTTTTTCAGGGACCTCAGCGCCCCTTTCTACACACCCCATATGCCGTGTTGTGCAACGTACACACCTCAAGTGCAGGGCGATATAGGGACCCAGCCTCCGCATCCTGGCGACAAGGTTACTGGCCACGCGGGAGATGGTGTCGGTGTATCGGAGGGCGCGGTAGTTGGCGCGGCAGCGCAGGCGCTGGATGGACTCCGGCATGCCGTTGTTGGCCAGGCGCGAGTCCGTGAGGGGGAAGCGCATCACACGGTGCTTCTTCAGGCGCAGGAGCAGGTCCTCGCGGTAGTAGGAGAACTGGGAGGCGGGAGCGGGCGGAGATAGGTGGGTGAAATGACAGGAGTGAATCGAGTGAGCAGGAGTCGGTGAGGGAAAAGCGCATCACTTCTGATGCATCTTCAGGCAAAGAAGCAGATCCTCGCGATAGTGGGAGAACTGGGAGGTGGGGGGGAAAGCGGTGGAGCAAAATGAGCGCAAAAAAACAATAATTTCGATGGCGCGAGTCAGGGGTGGAGAACAGCCACCAGAGCTGGCATGGCAGAGGAAACTCATTCATGGAAGAAAGGACACCAGACACAACATGAACAAAACTAGCCAGCGAGTTTTAGGGCGTATTTGTCTACCCCCCCCTCCCCCCCCCTCCCCCCTCTTATGGCTTCCAAAGTACACACCGGCGACCAGGAGATGGGGAACTTCTCGAGCACGCGGCGGTGGGCGACTCTGCGAGGCAGCTCCCTGACCACGCGGATGTCGTCCTTGAGCGTCGCGATGAAGTGCTCCAGGTCGAATATGTCCTCGAACTCGCTGGTGAGGCAGACAAGGGGTGGTAAGGAAGGGGAGAGAACGCGAGAAGGCATGGTGAGGGCACAGGGGGATGTCGTCCTTGAGCATCGCGATGAAGTGCTCCAGGTCGAATGTCCTCGAACTCGCTGGAACGAGGCACACAGGAGGGGTAAAGAAGAAGGGGAGAAAAGATGAGAAGGCATGGTGAGGGCACAAGAAGATGTCGTCCCTGAGCGAGCGTGGCACCAAAGTGGTTCAGAGCAAATATATAATGTTGTTCTCAGAAGACAAAAAGGAAAATGGGCAGGTATGCAATTATCTCTTTGCACCACACGCGTACCTTGGGTCAGACCAGAAGGAGGTGCATACCTTGGGTCGGACCAGAAGGAGGTGTGGTCGAGCTCTGGCACCACAAGAGTGGCGTTCATGATGCGAGCCACCGCCACCATGTCACAGATCTGAGGGCGGCCATGGGTTTGGGAGGTATAGGAGGCACAGGAGCCATTGGAAAGATCATGCGGGTGGGCGAGGCATAGGGGGACCACAGCACGCGGATGGGGGAGAGGGCAATTGTGTGTTGGAAGCACAGGGAAAGAGGAAGACATATTCCACAGGAAACTGCTAGAAGTTCAATATGGAGCCATGAACTAGAAACTGTCCCTCTTGTCTTCTCACCTTGTCATTTCTATGACAGCATTATCACTGGCTGGTATAAAATATCCCCTTCGATGCGGGTTTCTGCAAGGAAACGCTTCCTTGGCTGGTTCAGTGTGGCTGCACTTACCGCAGCTCGCATCTGGTTCAGACCTCCATTCGCCGTCACCAGAAGATAGCCATTCGTTGCTGATTTCGCGGGGACTGGGAGGGGCAGGAGGAGCAGGTAAGGAAGGCGCGTTGCACAGGGAGGGAGCGGAGGGGGGTTTGGGGGGGGGGGAGGAGGGGGATAATGAACCAATGTTTCCTGAGCTTTCAAAACGATCACAACAGGAACGAATACCACAATGTTCGGCACTACTAACAGTGAACAGTGAAACTGACGTTGGAACCGTGAGACCTACCTTTGTGTGTCTTTGACCGTGCGATGCACTGCTCAATGTGCTCCACTTTCGGGCTTCTCCACAGGAGCTTCTCCGACGACCGTCGCGGAGCGTGCGACCCAGACGCATTGAACCCGGACGTCCATGAAGCACCAATCGCGGAAGGCAACATAAGGGAAGAGGAGGAGGGGGAGGAGGCGGAGGATGGAGGAGGAGGGAACGAGGAGGAGGAGGAAGCGGAAGGCGGTGACGTGGAGAGCTCTGCATTGGAAGCCGCTACAGTCAGCGTGGGGATGACCAACGAGCTTCCACTCGGCCCAGAATGTAGCCCGACTCCTTGCAAAGCCTCCCCCTCCCCCTCGTTCCTCCCCGCTCTTCCCCTGCCTGCTCCCGCTGCGCCAATCACTGCGGACGCTGCTGCTTCCGCACCAGCGACTGCTGCTGCGGCTTGTGCAGCCTCACCTAGTGGTCCGTCCAGCGCGATTGCCTCGCTGCTGTCGCCGGGCTTTGGGAGCCCTTTTTGAGTACCTGGAGTGCTTGCCGAAGCCAACAACGTCGTTGAGGGAGACGGGATCTGTTCGGCTCGCTGAGACATGGAAGCAGCGGAGATAGAAATGCACGGATCACCATTAGCAGAGATGACGAACCGAATGAGGGGAAGGCCAACACACTCTGTGAAATGTACGACCTTGCGTTGTGCGATATTGTTCCCAGAGGACCACACGCGCTAGCTCCGCATCTAGAGTTCAACCCACGCGAGATTCTAACGAACCACAGATACCCCTTCTCCCTTCCGCCTCCACGCAAACAGACAGACCCCCCCCACACACAAAAAGCATCTGTTAGTAGCCGTTGCCCTCACCTCATTCTGCAGCGCAAGGGTTGAATCCCCCCGGCCGTCAGCAGAATCTGACAAGAAGAGCGACTCCGCTGCTCGTCTCCGTTCAATGGATGCACCAGCTGCGCTGCTCGTACTTGTTTCGGAATCTTGTTGGTCGGATAACGACGAAGCGGCGAGCTCCAGTGGTAACGCGGAGGACGACGAAGGGAGGAACTTCATGAGTCCTCGCGTCTGCAAAGACGAGGTTACGATAAACGGAATGGACCCAGAAGGGGGGAAATCGAGTTCGCTGGATGCGTTGTAGTCCCAGAATCTGTCTAAATATCAGGCGATCAGTCAGCGTATGAAGGATTTTATGATAAACAATGGTTGATGGCCAAACCAACTCGTACAATGAGAAGACTGAATCAAGACGGAGACACGAATCCATACCTTATGCAAAGAAGGAATAGACTTCAAGGATGCTCCGACCATCAGGAGGCCCACCATCAGCAGCAACATCTTCATGCGAAAGTGCAGCAAGATTCGCCGGAGGTCTCGCCTGGCGAACCACTTTCTAGCCTCCGGTAATAGCGTAGGCGCTAAGGCTGTCCTGGATTTGGAAGATACCTGCCTCCGCACCTGACGCTTTCCGTCGGGAATCTCAGGCTTCTCTAAGCCAGGAATCAAGGACGGATCTCTAGAATACTTCGGCAATGCTGTGAATCTCCATGAAACTATGGTTTCGTGTGCTCTATCACCACCGCTGCTGACATTGGCCATACGGGGAGAGGGAGAGTGTGAATTGGCTGCCGGACCAGCAAGGTCCTGCGGAAAAGCCTGATGAGGGTGAAAATGGTGGTTTGATCCCTGAACGTGTGTCAGATTCGCTGATTGCTCGCCAAGGATTGGTCGATCATTCTCGCACAAGGTTTCGAAAACTGGCCTCTGGCGTCTAGATGCTGGGACAAGAGGGCTCCTCGAGTGCTGCAGAGGGCTTGGCAAGTCTCGTGCCTTCTGGTTGCTGCCATGAGACCGCTCCTGTAACACCTCGATGAAGGTACTATCTGCTTCCTGACCTCTCGGTGTTACAGGTTCAGTTGCATGAGGAATCGCCATTTAGACATTCATCCAGAGCTAACCTAGAGGAGGAGCTTATCAACAGTGCATCGACGTACAACGATGGAACTTCGGACGCTCCTAATTTGACTGACGGACTAGTAGACTCTTACGACTATGTCCATCACCTCACCCCTGACGGTACTGCTAAAGCTATTGTAACAGGAGAGGCGACGCAGAATCGTACGATGACTACCCACGTGTCAATACCGCACCCGCCAGGTGAGTGTTAGTGACAGTTGCTGGAGCTGGGTGCTGTGTAGAGGGAACCGTGACTCACCAGTTGCTGGAATATCAAGGACACGGCGAAGCCATGGATGCTCACTGATAATCTGGTTGTGATGGTGATACACAACGCGCTCGTTGGCTGGGCTAGCATGGGAGACAAGCTGGAAACATGAGCACAAGGCAGTGTGCCTTCGGATTTCCTCCTTCCTCCTGACCAATCACGGACTACAGTAATACTTGCTGACACATTTCGCTAGTCCTTTCTGTAATTCATGAATGGATGGGGGTTTGTACGGTATTCAAAAGTGCCCGGCGAAATCAAGGGCAGGGAAACCCACACAGAAGGACCGCGGTGAGGTTTCAAGGAAAGCAGGAAGCCGAATGGCGGGAAGGCGGGAGCCGCTCCAGCAAGGCGAATGGCATGTATTTGCGGCTCGTTGCGCTCTCGCACCGCGACAGGCTCACCTCTGGTATGGTCTGGTGTGCCTCACCTTGCTGCCATTGCCCAACACAACAAATTGGCAAGCCCAAGGTCCAAGTCTGACTGTCAAGCCCTGTGTGCTTTCTGACATTCGTTAGTGCGGCTATCGCTCCACGCAATTTCACATTTCCAACCCGTTCCCTCCAATTGTGTGGAATTTATGAGTCCAGCTCAAAAATTTACTCCAAATATTTGTGTCGAAGCAGCCAATATAGCGTTGTTCTCGTGAAATGTCATTGTTCTGGAGGTTATCAGCTGTTGCGGCCCGATCATGTGGGCCAGCCAAATGGAGTTCCCAAAAACATCTCGCACTTGTCAACAAGGTACAACCAAGTTCAATCCCTTGCGAACTCCTTTCTGCTGTGTGCTTCACGACAGACTCATCGACCCTCGAGTCGGTCATCACATTGGAACTATACAATGGCCGATCATTCAACTAAAGGCATGCCGGCTCACTTCCAATCTCTGGACCTGCGCCTGATTTTTGGAGTTTGAACAAAATGGGCAATAAGACCCAAATGCTTCATAGGCTTCGTGAGCTGTTACTTTTTGCGTTGTTGTGGAAATGCTACGGTAAACCCACTGTCGACGAATTAGTTCTAGCGGTAAGGGCCACTTCAACGTCTCTTGCCAGGAGAAGTGTTTTCTAAAAGCGCCTTTAAAACTAATTCGCCATTCCTTCATGCAGAGATATCAAGGCAGAGTGCTGAACATTTGCTCAGGAAAGAGCACAGAAAAGGCTTTGGCAGTGATCGCAGGCAATGATACATCCACGAGCAACGTCAATGCTGGACTGGAAAGTCCACGATCTCACATGTACATCAGGAATTCACGTCTGAAAGGTAAGCCCCAGAGCTGAATATAGAGAAAGTGGCGGATGGACGGCTCTAACCCCAATCTCGGTTCTTTACTACCAGGTAGACGACATTGTGGAAACGGGGCACTGCAATATTTTGACTACAACAAGTCATCGAATCAGTTCAACGCACTTGCAGCAGACGAGATTTCATCAGATGTGAAGCACTCATCCTTCGTGGTTTCTGTATCCAATCCCGACAGAGGAAGCGCAAGTTTAAATTTTCGGCTGCAAAATTACTTACAGCTAGGCTTGAGTGTGACGGGGCTGAATGAGACTGCGGATACATCAGGAACTCGGGTAAAACAATAGATACATTTTCTGTTCTGAGGTTATGCAGCAACCAACTTACCACTCTTTTGATGCCATGTTGTGCAGGTTTATGCAAGCAGTGTTCAGCACCTGAAGGGGCAATATGCTCCGTATTACAAGATGATCCAAGAGTTTGTGAAGCGGCATCCAGCAAGGAAGCTTCGTGCAGCTGTGTTGATAACCAAAGCTGAGGATGGCGCCGCCCAATTAGCGTTGTACCTGCTGATTCAACCACACTGCAGGCATTTACATGACACTTCTCGCCTCTCTAGATGCTGCCCCTGCCAGGTGGTGAACGGCCTTGTGGCCACCTACAGTGGAAATAAAGAGGACGAAGATCGCCAGCTCCTCAAAGCAAAACGTGGCCCTCATGTGGCATACGCCGCTGTCTATCAGAAAGAAAATGATTGAACTAGAATGTGTGTGTACAAGGATATATAGACTAGGGTGTTGTACCCTCTAAGACACAATCCAGTATAGTCTACAGTAACGACCTAAGTTACATTTGACACACCCCCTAGACTATATAGGGGCAGTGCCTAACAAGGGAAGAAGCAGCTCAGGGCGGCAATACTAGTCCAGCCTCTGAGACCAGGGTCTAAAGACCAGTCAAAAGGAGTACAGACAAGGCAAGAGCAAGCCCAGGGCGGCACTACTAGTCCAGCCACTGGGAGAGGACACAAGGCCAGTCTGGGTAAAATATATATAAAGGACAGTACAAAGTCAAAGCCCTAGCAAGTGAGAGGCTACAGGAACGAGACCCAGCTGTACACAGTGCCGCTGATGATCTTTAGGCGCAAGCGCCTTCGTAAAGATATTAGCTGTGTTGGCACCAGAGGCCAAGTGTACTACGCGCGCCTGGCGACGCTGCTGCAGCTCACGCAGGAAGAAGTACCGCAGCTGAATGTGCTTCGCTTTGCCCTCAAGTCGAGGCTCCTGACACAGGAGGATCATGGCCTTGTTGTCAGCGTACAGGACCGGGGCAGAGCTAGGCCGCTCACCTAAGTCAGTGAGCAAGAAGGTCAGCCAGCGGAGCTCCTGTGCCGCCATGGCACCGGCGTAGATCTCGGCCTCACAGCTGGACTGGGCAACAGATGAGGAGCGGGTAGCTCTCCACGAGACGGCACCTGAACCAAGGCTGAAGCAATAGCCCTGTAAGGACCTGAGGGTCTCGGCGTCGTCTGCCCAAGAAGCGTCTGTGTGTCCAGTAAGGACCACTGGCCTACGTCCTCCTAGCACTAACCCCATGCCCGATGTACTTGCAAGATAACGCAAAACCCTCTTAGCGGCAGACCAGTGCTGAGGTCGGTGTCTGTGGCCGTTCGCCGCCGTCTGTAACCCTAAACCCTAAACCGTGCCTGTAGCCACAAAGCGAGCCAGGATGCTGAGAGGGTATGCGAGATCTGGGCGAGTGCAAGTCATCAGGTACTTGAGGCAACCCACCAGCTCTGCGTAAGGACCACTCGGCTCTGCTGACTCCTCAGAAACTGGAGCGGAGAGCCTGTAGTCTGGAGGCAGAGGAGTAGGCTGCGCGGAGGAGAACTGAAGGCCGAACCTCTGAAGGACCTGGCGCACCAATTGTGACTGAGTCAAAGTGATGGTGCGGGCTGCTCTGTCCCTGGAGGTCTGCAAGCCAAGGTAGTTGCGCAGTTCTCCAAGGTCAGTGCAGGTGTGTTTCTTCAGCAGCTCTGCCTTCACGGAGGCCAATGCGTTCCTGTCTGCCGTGGCGAAGACCAGGTCGTCTACGTAAACAAGAATGTAGAACAGAGTCTGGCCAGCACGAACGAAGAGCTAGGGGTCTGCAGAGGACAGAAAGAACTGGAGGTCAGCAAGCGTAGCACGCAGTGTGTCGTGCCACTCACTGGGTCCCAGGAGGGAAGGTACAAGTGAAGCCCTGAGGGCGACGCAGGTAGACCTGCTCGTCTAGATTGCCCTGAAGAAACGCATTGGAGAAGTCGAGGGAGTGAAGCTCGTAGCCACGCTGCGCTGTTACGTGTAGTAGAACCCGAATAGTAGTCATCTTCGGGGTCGGAGCGAAGGTCTGGAAGAAGTCCACCCCCTCACGCTGACTGAAACCTCTAGCCACATAGCGCGCCTTCAACACACGCGGCTCTCCAGTGGGGCGCTTCACCTTGAGGAGCCAGCGGCCATCGACTACGTTCACCCCAGGTGGGGGAACTGCGTCGACGTAGGTGCCGGTGGATCTCCAATATGCCATCTCCTGCTCCATGGCAGCTATCCACTAAGAGGCCCAGGGTCCTGAAACCGCCTCAGCTTAAGTGCGAGGGGTCGGGATGTCGAAAGCGTCGGGGTCACCCTCAGGGACTAGAAGCATGGAATAGAGAAGCAGCCTTGGACAGGAAAGCAAGCTCGTACTGGCGATCCTCCAAGACGTCACTGCCAAGGGCAGGAGCACCCCCGACAGACGGAGGACAGGCACGGTCAGAGACCAGAGCGGTGGCATAGTCAAGGCGGCGGGTAGAGGCAAAGTTAGCGACCGCAACGACAAGGGCGTCAAGGCTCGAAACCGGAACAGACGGGTCGGTAACGAGAGAGGCAAGGACCCGAGGAACAAGAGGACAAGCGGCACGCAGGTAGTCAGATAGAGGAGGGGGAGCAATGACAAGGGAGGACGGAGGGGGCGACGGGAGAAGGGGAGGACGAGACGCGTTGGAACGAAGCAATATAGGGTGAGAGCGCAAGACAGGGGAGACAGGTCGAGCACGGGAGGGACGGCGAGACCAGACGTGAGACGGGGGAGTCGGGTCAGGAGACAGAGGAGGGGACACAGGAGGGGAACGAGGGGGGAAACGGGCCGGAGACGCGTCCGAAGGAGGGAACACAGGGCCGGAGACAGGAGGAGGAGGAGGCACGGGCACAGGGTCAGGGGACGGAAGGCCGAGGGGGACTGCTATGACGGCGGTGTGACGCCGACACCGAGACCGCAAGCTGCCGGGCGGCTACCTCCAGAACACTCCACACCAGCACCCCCAGAAGAAAAACCCCCGGAGCTCAGAACCCCTCGAGCACCGGTACCACCTCCAGGCCCGCCGGGACAAGCCACGACAGGAGTCCCAGGACTAGTACCCACCCCAACTCCAGCACCCCCAGAGGCAACCAGCTGCTGCGGCGACGGCTGCGGCGGCGGCGGTCGCAACGACGGTTGCAGCGACGGTGGCAGCGGTGACGACGGCTGCGACAGCGGTGGTGACTGCGGCTGCGAAGGCGGCGGAGGAGGAGACACCTGAGAAGGGGCAGGTCGCGAGGACTGCGCCGCAGGACCACCAGAGTCAGCAGACTCGTCAACCGGTACAACCGACGTAAGTGGGGTGACGTGGGACACACCAGAGGGGGCAGGACGGGGAGGGGGAGGAGGAGGGGCGGCGACGACCGGGGAAGGGGTGACCAGGAACAGGGGGGGGGTAACCGGGGGACCTCGGTAGGGGAAGCGG